GCACCCACCCTCGCTCCACCTCTTCCTGCCCTGTTCCGCCCCCTCCAGAGCCCACCCCACCCTCGCTCCGCCTCTTCCTGCCCTGTTCCGCCCCCTCCAGAGCGCACCCACCCTCGCTCCGCCTCTTCCTGCCCCGTTCCACCCCCTCCAGAGCACACCCACCCTTGCTCCGCCTCTTCCTCCCAGCACTTCCTGCATGCCGCTGAACAGCTGATCACTGGCAGGCAGGAGGTGCTGGCGGGGCGGGGGAGGAGCTGATTGGCAGGGCCACGGGTGAGTGCTGAGCACCCACTATTTTTTTCCATGGGCTCCAGCCCCAGAGCACCCACGGAGTTTGCGCCTATGTATGTGTTAGCACGGCAGTGAGACCTGGTCCAGCAATTGTAAAACCCAGTGCTGTATGGACACTTACGCATGGACTTGGAAACACGGATTCCACAAGCCTGGCTCCCAAGGACCTGGGTTTAGAGTGCAGTGTAGACATATCCCAAGTGACTCACCCAGGGTCCCACACAGCAGAGAAGGGAAATGAACCTGAGTCTCCTGCATCCCATGCTATTGTCCTAGCCACTGGGCCATCCTTCTGTCAAGCAGTGTCCTGGAACCTCCCATTCTATCCTCTGACCTACGAATGTGGATGTTAGGCATGAAGTCAGCCCAGTGTAGTGCAAGAAACATGATGGGAAAAGGCAACAAGCTGACTGGCTTGCTAGTAATCATCATACTTTTGTTTGCAGATAATCTCTTAAGAAAGATTACCCATAGATTGGAAGATTACTGATCTTAATCACATAAGGCCATTTATTCTAGTTAACTTGAGATGTATTTCTGGCCCGCAGCAGTGTGTGCTAAAGCAAGAATGGTTCAAGTGAGCATAATAATAATTAAAATGTGCACTTACCCACAGTGGTGTTGGCCAGAACAGGACTGAATCTAACTTCTTAGATTTTTTTTTAATGCTGGCTAGAAAGAACCAGAAGATTGGAATGAAATTTTCTCCTTTTCTCAACTAACGGGGGTCATGCTATTGGACCAATCTTTTCCAGGCTTGCTCATCCGACACTCACTCTATATCCACTCCAGCCTTCCATACACATTCTAGCCATTGTTTTCTTAGCTCTCCTCTTGTTCTCCTCCTGTGCATGCTAGTCTCAAGGGCTTCCCTGACAGGATTCCCTTCATCCATCCTTCATCCATGCCCACACCATGTCAGCCTCCTCTCTAGCCACTTCTCCCTGGTACTGGAGACCATGGTCTCACTCCTGATGACATCATTCCACATGTGGTCGAGCAGTGGCTCCCCTCTTGCTGCCCTGAAGCATCTAATTTCAACGGCTGCAAGTCTTCTCAAGTGGCTCATTGGTCACCCATGTCTCTGATCCTCACAGGAGAGTTGGTCTTACCATACTTTTGTAGAGCTGTCCCTTAAATAACCTGGGCATCCATTTATCATAAATCATTCCACTTATCTTGTGCCATGCAGTACTCTGTCGACTTCTCCATTTGCCAATAACCAGCCCCCAAAGTACTTAAAACAGGAACCTAATTTAGGCGCTGGCTCTCGGTTCTGATATTAATCTGTTTTGCTTCTGCTCGAGTCACCCACGTGGCTTCAGTCTTTTCTTTACTCATTTTGAAACTATAGTTTGTTAGATCCCTGTTCCAGGAGTCAGTTGTCTGGCCCAAATTTCCTCTCTAGCTGGGAACGAAATATTGAAGATAAACTTAGTCTGAAAAATACTTCCGTTGTTGTTTGAGGAGAGCTGATTAAATCCAAACTGAATTGAGCCTGATGCTTTGTGACGGAAGTGGGGGATTTTCTTGTTTGTTTTCTTGTTTTCGGTGGGGTTTCAATGGTTTGCATGCGGAGGGAGTGGGACTCAGTTTCCCTGAGGGTTACTGGTTTAACGAGGTGAGGGGAGAGGGAGTTTGTTGTTACAGAGGACCGGAGAGGGAATGTGGGACCCCAGCCCATGGCCTGGAGGATGGAGACCCCAGCGACCTGTGACCTGAGACCCCGACCCAGAGACCCAGCCCAGGAGTCACAGCCGGTTCTGGCCAGTGGGAGGACAATAGCCTGCAGAGTGAGGAGCCAGTGACCTGACCAGCCAGCTCCAGCCAGAGGACAGAAGCAGGAGAGGAGGCCCCAGTTTACAGCCCTGTTTACCTGGAGAGAAGACAATGGACAGAGGAGGGCTTGGGGCCGGGGATCTCAGATGCCCAGCTGGGAAGCAGGGGGGCTCTGGGCTGGAGAGGGGTAGCAGGCAGAGCCCACCTGGATGCAGAGAGACTGGGATGTGCTGGGCTGAGGGAGGTCAGGCCTGAGGCCCTGAGAGTTTCCTGGGCTGTGTTCAACTCTCAGTACATCCTCCTGTTTTATGCTGGCTGAGAGTCACTTGGTCTAGAGAACAGGGTTGCATCAACCCCTTCAGGGGTGGAGGCCCCGCGGGTACAGAGCGAGTGGACTTCCTGAGGGGGCCCACGGCAGAGACAGATGTGCTAAGGCTCAGAAAGGTGCGGCTCCAGGAGGTGGAGGGGCCTGACCCCGAGAGAGAGTGGACCCCCGAGAAGGGATGTCTCACTGAAAGGGGCACCCCCCACGGACCGCACGGGGCCAAGAGTGGGCATGATCTGTGAGTCCATGACATGCTTCCACTCTGGAACACTGTTTTTGACTTCATTAGAGTTACTCTGGCATAAAAGTGGGGCAGTAGAGTGAAGAATCAGGACCCAAGGCCTATCCCACTCCACTGGACATGGTAAATCCTGTCATCAGTTGCACTGTCAAAGCCTGAAAGTGCCAGATTTTGACTAACATGACCTCACTTCATTCTGGCTTTACAGCACTACTCAATCCTTATTGCTTTGAGGGGCTCAGAAGCTAGAACCCCTCATTGTAAAAATACACACTAGGATCAGTATCCCACCTGCAATATATATGGACCTTTGCTTCACAAGGACACTAATTGTTCATTTTAGTTTTCAAATCAATGACAAAAACCTTATGGGTAATAAAATCCTCGGGTGTCTGGTCTTTTCCAACAGACACGAATACAGAGCTGGAAATAGCCTTTTGGAATAATGGCTCAGCAGTGGAGAGGAGAGAATCCTACAGCAGCTTTACCATTGATGTAGAACATTAGGACCTCCTGGCTCTTCTATCCCGCTTCTACCGCTGTTATCCAGGCTCCTTTTGAACACCTCTTATGATGGTGCCTCAGTGACTTCCCTTCTCAAATGATTCCATTCTCTAAGTGGCCTCATGGTTAGAAGTCTTTTCCTGATGTCTAACTTCTTAAGAACATCAGAATAGCCACACTGGGTCAGACCAAAGGTCCATCTAGCCCCATATCCTGTCTTCCAACAGTGGCCAATGCCAGGTGCCCCAGAGGGAATGAACAGAACAGGGAATCATCAAGTGATCCATCCCCTGTTGCCCATTCCCAGCTTCTGGCAAACAGAGGCTAGGGACACCATCCCTGTCCATCTTTGCTAATAGCCATTGATGGACCTATCCTCCAGGAACTTATCTAATTCTCTTTTGAACCCTGTTATCATCTTGGCCTTCACAACATCCTTTGGTAAGAGTTCCACAGGTTGATTGCGTGTTGTGTGAAGACATACTTCCTTTTGTTTGTTTTAAACCTGCTGTCTATTAGTTTCATTTGGTGACCCCTAGTTCTTGTGTTATGAGGAGTAAATAACACTTCCTTGTTTACTTTCTCCACACCAGTCATGATTTTATAGACCTCTATCATATCCCCCCTTAGTCGTCTCTTTTCCAAGCTGAAAAGTCCCAGTTTTATTCATCACTTCTCATATGGAAGCCGTTCCATACCCCTAATCAGTCTTTGTTGCCCTTTTCTGAACCTTGTCCAATTCCAATATATCTTTTTTGAGATGGGGTGACCACATCTGCACGCAGTGCTCATGATTCACTGTCCCTTTCTCTGATTTGAAGCCATTACCTGCCCATGATATACATGTTACCTATTTTGGATAATCCCTTCCTCTTTTATGCTGTTACCTCACAAGTGCTTGTAGACACATATAGGCTCCCTTTGTCCTCACTTCTCTGAGCAGCACGTATTAAGACCCCCTAACTCTACCAGCCTGACTGGAGTTGGCACTCTGTTTTAAAAGAAGCCAGATGATAATAGAGCTTTTTCTAGAAATAGTAATACCGATCACGAGCTTTGCCTTATATACAGGGGATAAATTCATGTTGCTCATTTTAACACCACTTCTACAAGCCAGGCATCTACCAAGTCAGCCAGAGTTCTTACAGTTTTGAATGGGTTTGAGAGCTATGCAGTAGCTGTATAAGAGAACGTTACAGCAGGAATTTGTGCTGTGCTGTGTCTATTTAAATCCCGATAATCAAATTTGGCAGTGTGTCTGAAACGAAAGGGTCAGAGGATTTTTTTGTACAGTTTCTCAGTGTGGCCAGAGCTGGCATCATTAGTTTAAGCCCAGGCCTGCCTGCAGCATTAGAAATGCACAAAAGGAGCAATCATTTCCTCCGCTTGTAAGCAACGCTCAGAGAATAAGGTGCAAATCTCTGCCTCTGCCCTTCCGGCATCTCCAAGGGAATGATGAGCCTGGTAGGGCTGGGAGCCCAAACTGCACAGGTGCACCTCCGAATGCCTCCGACTGGCTGCATCCGAGAGCGCTTCTCTCAGCATATCAATGAGGTGCTCAAGGAGATTCAGAGCAAGTGGAGCCATTCCTCTGAAGGAGCCAACGCTCTTGAAAAGACCAGCTGGTGAAAAGGCTCCTTTCTTTTGGCTGAGGAATGATTTTCAGTCAGAGAAGAGAGTCCCCTCCCCCAGTCAGTAGTTTGTCGAAAAGATCTGTCGGGAGCGTCTCAAGGTTAGGGATTTAAGTCACATTATCCATGCTAATGTATGCAGCACTGAAAGCCTCGCCGGGCCTGATTCTGCCACTCTTACTCACCCTGAGTAGCATGTTACTCCACAAATAGTTTCATTGATTTCATGGAGTAGGAGTCTGATCCAGAGGTAGTAATGGTGTAAACTGGTCTCATTTGGTGGTGGTGTGCAAGAAGTAATTTTAAAAGTGAATCAGACTGTCTGGCCCACTCCCATGAAGGGCACTCCCACTCCCCGTGTCCTTCAGCACCCACTCAGGGCCAGCAGGCGTCTGGACATTCAGCTTCTCAGCAGACAGAGACACCAGGACAAATCTCAAAGGTAAGGTGCAGCGAGAACAGCGTATTTCTGCTGTTAAATCCACACAGCAGCTGCTCAGAGTGAGTGATGTCACACAAACAGGGTCGCGGCCTGTGGATCTATGCACAACATAGATCAGGAGGGCCTAAAACCCATGCCAAGGAGCAGCAGTGGGCCCTGTTTGCTAACAGTAGTGCTAGCTATGTAGGTGACCTGACCCAGGTCTGTACCGGGGATGGGAGTGAAGATTCCTTCTCTGGGCACCTCCCTGTGCATGCAACTTCTTCATGAGAGCAAAGAGCTTTGGCTAGCGCTTTGTTCTAATCAACCCCTTGTGGGTATTCACTCACATTGATGATATATACGCTGCCAGTGCATTCGTACCTCTGGTGAGCACCCTCTTGAATGCATATCCTCCTACCTTTCCATCCACACTCAGAGGCCTAACAATCTCCCTGCACACCCACGGGCACTGTCCATGGATGCATGCATGTCAGTCCGTGTCATGTTTAGTGTTAATCTAACAGCAATATAGTATTTATATAGAGCCTTTTATTCTGAAGGATCCCACAGCGAGTATTAATCTACATATCTTGGGATCATTCTCACATCCCTGAAATGCAGCCACCTATGCAATGGGGAATGGGGCAGCTAGTCTGTGCGAGAATCCCTGTGTAACAGCTTGTGTGGAGGGGAAATGGAGAGGGCTCTGTTGTAGACTATTCACGCCCAGGGTCAGTATGCCTGACACGCAGCATGGGCACTTTCACACTATGGTGGCATTGATATCCTCCTTGGAAATATCCTCCATCTCCTCACCAGCTACTGCCATTAACTCCTCGGCTTGGCACTGCCACTCCGGTGACACAGACATCCTCAGGCTTACCCAGCCAGGTGTGTTATCCCTGTGTCAGAGAATCATAGAATCATAGAATATCAGGGCTGGAAGGGACCTCAGGAGGTATCTAGTCCAACCCCCTGCTCAAAGCAGGACCAATTCCCAACTAAATCATCCTGCCATCCCAAAGGGGGTTGTTGCATGGTTCTGCCAAAAGCTACAGACTAGCTGATAGGCATGGTTAGTGCATGATGTTTGTATGGGAAATCATTTAGAGTTATGTAACATAGTGGATACTGGCTTTCAAAGTTGTTGATGTGAAACTTGTCACCTGAGGTGAGACGGAGTCTCAAGGCTAACTCAGTCACCACTGAGAACAATGGACATGCATGGAGCCAGTCCTATGTTTGCTCTCTGGACCTGGTGCAGAGTTGTGGATTTACAAAGACAAATGAACCCCAAGAAAAGTCTCTGAATAGGGACCCCCTGGGTAAGAGACAGAGTCTGTGACTGTATAAAAGAAGAGGAAAAGACACAACATTGTATCCATTACAGAGAAGAGACTCTACCAGCGGTGTTGTCTCATGACAGGTGGATCCCAGCTTTCTGGACCGTTAGTTGAGAAATGCCTTATTAGACAGGAAAGTAAAGTAAGTATAGGCTATAAATTGCATGTTATGTTTTCCTTTGCTTGTGACCTTATGTTTCCAAACTTTCACTATCTTTTATTTGAAAATCTATCTCAAGCCCCGTTGAATAAACTTAAGATTGGTTTTACTGTAGACACGTCTCCGTGTCTTGCACTAAGGAGAGTGCTGAACTGAGGTGAAACCAGTGACCAGAGGTGCACTGCTTCCCTGGAGGCAGCGGACCAGTGTGCATTGCAGGTGTCAGGAAGAGAGGGGACTGGGCACGTGAGCGGGGGCTCCCTCTCTCAGCCCCAGGGTGGCTGGGGCTTCCACTGTCAGCCCTGCACAGGGTGGGGCTCCTGTTGTCAAACCTGCGGTGACCGTCTAATCTTGCGGACGCTGCAATTTCTGCATTATGGCACGTTAAGTGGGGCCTTGTCAAGGAGGTATTTTCATTTAAAAACCCCACCCCCAGGCAGCTCTCCTGCTCCCGCTGTCTCCTCCACACATAACTTTCCTCCTGTATGAACCAACAGCTCAATTACAAACCAAAATATCAGTTCACCTGAGCCCCTCGCCATTTCCTTTCATCTACTGTCTCCTCCTCCCCTGTCCAAAGGCACGTGCTTGGCTCCCGATAAAACCCTTGTGCAGAAGGGAAATGATCTACAGCAATCCTGTCACATCCCACAGTGACTTTCAACTGGGAAAAAAACGAGGAGATGGAGTGTAGCCATGGTGAGCTGTCTATCCTCAGTCCAGGAAAACTGATGGCTGTGGAGAAGGAGGAAAATGAACATAGAAGGTATGTGTCCAGTTGGATTCTTGTATTTTCAGGTGCGTTAACTAACCATTGCAAATTCCAGCATAGACCTGTATACCCCACATTGGTTCTCAGCCAAGGGTTAAACACAAATTGAAACGAACATCCATGTTTTGTCTACAGTCACATTTAGCACTTGAAAAACATGACAAAGAATTTGAGCATGGACCTCCCCATAGGAGACTTGGGTTGAGGGTGGCCATGGGCCCAGTGTGAGATTCCTGGAAAGGTTCCCATCTTGACGTGCTGCCTCTCACCAGGCCCCCGGAGTCAACCCTTCCCCCAGTGCTGGAGAGGTTGACATGGACTAGAAGTGATAACTACTCAAATTGAGCAGTCGTGGTTCATGACTGGCCCCTTTGAATCTAGGGGGAGCAAAGTATTATTCAAGGGGAGTAAAGCTTTCAGAATCCTGACCTTTCTAGGCGGGATCCCACCATCCTCTGCGCTGGCGGGGAGCGGGGAGCTACATCCCAATTTGGGCATCTCCAAGCAGGCCTGTCCCCTGTGAGGAGCGGGCCCTTAACAGTCGTGGGGTGAGAGGAGAGGGCAGAGGGAAAAGCAGGCGCACAGAGTTCCTGGCAGGACCTGGAGCAGAGCCAGCCACGGCCCTGCGAGCAGCCCAGCGGAGGTTCCGCCGGCGGCCGGCCTCGCAGGACAGAACTCTGCTTGCGGGAGGAGCCGGCCGCCCCCGCGGGGGGAGCAAGCCAAGGAGCCGAGCTGGACGTGGAGCGGAGACCCGCGCGCCCTAGGCGCACACCTGGCGGGAGGCGGCTGCGTGCCAGGTTCCTTGGGGAGACGACAGGAGGGCGCAGGGGACTCTGCCCCCGGAGATGCTCCGCACACCCCTGCCAGGTGCGGCCCCTTTCTCCTGGCCCCCTGCTCCCGAGGGGGGAAGCAGAGGTGGCCGCCCTCAGCCTCGCTTCCCCGCTGAAGGGCAGACATGGGGCGGCGGCTGCTCTTCTTCCCTGGCCTCTGGGGTCGTCTCAGTCCTTCCCTTGGAGAGCAGCGGGGCAGAGGCCTGGCCCCTTCCCCTGCTCCTCCCAGAGCAGCCTGGACCAGCCCAGCGCCCCGTTCCTGACAGCGCAGGAGAGGCAGTGTCCCCCCACCCCGACCCTGGGGTTTCCCAAGCGGTTCTTTCCCTGCAGGACCTGAGAGCAGCCTGGGTCAGACCCGCCCGGCTCCCCACAGCCCAGGCCCATGCCTCGCCCTCCGCAGCGGGGCGCCCCGAGTAGCCCGCAGGCTGAGCCGGGGCTGGCGTGGAGGGACCGCAGAGAGTCTAGCGGGACACAGCGCGCTCTGCCCAGGCTGCAGGGGGTCGGGGCGGGACCCGAGCGCCCCAGGAGCGGGACCCGCCAACGCAGTAATCCGAGTAGGCACCAGCAGTATCCGGCAGACGCAGAGAGCGGGGTAGGGGCTTCGAGTCCCAGCCTCCCCCCAGCCACGGGCCTCGGTCCCGCACAGCAGCGCCCTGCTCGCCGCACCGCGCCGGGGGTGGAGGGAGGCGATCCGCGATCAATAGGAGCAGGGGGTGGGGAAGCGGCCATGCAAATGCAGCGCCCTTGGGGTGAGGCTTAAAAGCCATGACAACCGGGCCTGAACACGCGCCTGAGCCTGGGTGGGGTCAGGGCAGCCCTCGGGGTGCTCTGTTCCGCTGATGGGCAAAGCCCCCAACCTCCAGCCCCTCGGCCCGGGCCAGGCTGGCGGGGAAGAGCTGAAGGAGGGAGCGGCCAGACGGATGAGAGGGGAAGGGGGGGATGCAGGAGGAATGAATGAATAACCGCCTGCCCGGGTGGGGCGGGACCCCAGCTTTCCCCCCCGGCTGTCCCACCCGGACAGGCTCCGGCTCCTGCTGCCGTGGGGGTGGGGGTAACTCAAAGAGAGGAGGTGGGTTTGAAGAGGGGGCTTCTAGCAAGGGGTCCTCCCCTCCAGCCCCCTCCTCTGCAGCCCTT